TTGTGTGGGTATCTATGTCTGTCCATCTATCGATCTATCTCTCTTTTTTTTCTTATTTACGGTAACTTGCAAAGCTTTGAATACATTCTATACGTGTTTTCCTTAAACCCCCAATCTATCTGGGATTGCAGTTGCATGTTCGGGGTATCTCTCTCCATTTTTGCGACTTGACTGTACGAGTTATTGCTTAGTTTGCCAATAACGTTTTGTACCGGTTTTAAACTCTAAACGCATGTCAGAATTTGGTATCGTCTATCTCTCTTTTAGAAACGAGAAACATTTTCATTTTGTTAGGTTGATCTTAATTGACGATTAAAAAAAAAGAAGAAAAAAAAAAACGGAAGGAGAGAAAAAAAGAGAGAAAGTATGCGAAAGAAGGAGCAGATTGACAGACAGAGGCCAAAAACGAAAAGACAAACTGAGAAGAAATGAGAACTTGAAAGAAGCAAAACAAAAACAGACAAAAACAGACAAATAAAAAAAAAATAAAACGGTGAAAGAGGCAGACACAGACAGAAACACAAAACCAGAAGAAAACTAGCGAATTAGGCCAAGACTAGAATGAACAACAGGAAAAAAAAATCCTATCGACCACAGTAAAGAAGGAAGAGGAAACAGAGCAATATCTTTCCATTCTTATCCACGGGGCCAGTCGATGCGTTGTTACAGCGATGAGCCCTTGAGAAGATAACACAATGCATATATATAAACGGGAGGAGCGTTCAGGGAAACTCGGCATTTTGAGAGATGGCAAAAGCAGAACCCATTTCCCTGCTTTGTTATTTTGTTACGAAAGATGGAAGTCAAGTGGTGGGTGACTATTGCAAAAATAAAGAAACCCAAAGTAACTGATGCAGTTGCAAAGATCTTGATGTTAAGATATATCTAAAATGACAATCACAGTGGCGAAAAATATAATAGGGACTGAGTGTGGAAAATAATTCAAAAGAAAAATGTTAACACGAAATATAGGATCACGGACCTCTAAGGTAGTTAACTGAAATAAGTCTTTGTAAGGAAACTACAAGAGAGTAAAGAACGAAAATAGAAATAATGAAAGGAAATTGGACAGTTGAATGTCGAAGATTATAGCAAATCCGAACGAAAGGGAAAGAGAAAAAGAAGAACGACAGAGAGAAAAAGAGAAACAAGGACAAACAGCGGGACCTAAGCAAATAAAAGAGAACAACAAAACGAAAATAAACTGCAGGGATAAACGAGAACAGAAAAACAACGAATGTTGGAAGAGGGAAGGCAGGAGTTAGAAGGAAGGAAGAGAGAAGGACGGCGATCGGGGATAGAAGATCAGCGAAGTCAATATACCAAGCCAATATTAGTCGGTCGTGTTTGCTGCGTCGGTAAGGGTCATCACTCCATACTCTAGAAATAATATTTTGCTCCTTAAGTAGTAAATATATATGCGCACACATACACAATATATATATATATATATATATATATATATATATATATATATATATATATATATATATATATACATATATATATATATATATATATATATATATATATATATATATATATATATATATATATATATGCACACACGATAAGCGCTCATTATAGATTTCCTCTAACCCACAGTAAGGTATGGAAAGTATCGAGCAGGTATCAGGTTTTTATACTTGAATGGCCGAATACCACAAGAGACCTTCGATGAAATTAAACTTATGGGGAGGAAGCCTCATCATGTGACGTTTTTAAACATAGACAGTGCAGGTGTGGTTGCATCTGTGGAAGCCATCCATCAAGTGGAGACTACTATTTTGGAAGAACGCCGTTTTACTATTCGTCAGCTAGCCCAAGATGTTGAAAATTAGTGTTGGGTCTGTGGATACTCACACCCTTCCAGAAGCAGGAACGAGTCCATTGTTCCAAGGCTCTTTTAGTAATGTACCAAGGAAACCAGGAGAACTTTTCTGACAGGCTAATTGTGCAGGATGAAACTCGGATCCATCACCATGTTCAAGAAACTAAGGTCCAGTCAAAACAATGGAAGCACTTTGACACCCCCCCCCCCTCGGCAGGCAAGATCATGTTCACAGTCTTTTGGGACGAGCATGGAGTAGGGATGATGGATATCCTGGCAAAACGTACTACAATTACAGTGCCCCTCGTGTATATATACATAGTATAAATATATATATACATATACATTCATATATGTATGCATAAATATAATATATATATTATATATATATATATATATATATATATATATATATATATATACATATATATAATATGTATATATACACACAAACACACACACACACACACACACATGTATGTATGTATAAGTCTGTGTGTGTGTGTGTGTGTGTGTGAAAAATGGCCTCATGTCTAATCCCAAAATAACAAAAACACAACGGATAAGATGGTAACAAGGGAAAAGACAATAACCCTGCAATCTCTCCAATGTTTGATTTATAGCATAGCAATACAAGATAAGATAATACCACAAAAAAGGATAAGCTCGCAGCCGTTCCCATGCCTAGCAGAAATAGACCTTCAATAAGATAATATCACATACAAAATAAGAAAATAACCCTGCAGTCTCTGTCCCACGTGGATAAAGGTGAATAAGCGACCTGAAGTATTTGTTGTTGTGCTGAGCTATTAAAGTCTGAGCGATAACATTTACTCTTTTAAATTATTTTACCAAATTCATTTATCGCGCTGGAAGAATGAGTTGACATTATTGATTTTATTGACTTAGAAAGAAAGTTATTGAGTGATTCGGGATTTATTTGAAGAGTTCTCATCTGAGGATTAATATTTGATGTGATTATGGATTAGAGTTTTTATCTGATGTTAAAATATAATATTATGATATGCATGTTAAAACTACAGAGCATGTTATTTCCTTACTATTTTTCTGTAATGAATTATATGATTTTGATATATTGTTACTTGATCTCTGAATTCCGTATTGCATGTTTATCCCTCTGTTCTTATTTTCAGGCAGATATATTTATCAAATGAAATGTAAACAGCCAAGCAGTTATTTATCTCAAGATTTTGGAATTGATAATACCACTGTATCATAATGTGATTCTAAAGTTTGACATTCAAAGGCAAGGTTTAATCTGTAGAGTTTATTGTGACAAATAAAACAAATATATGAAAGAGAACGAATGCTTAACAAACAGAAACAGAAAAGAAAAATAATGGAAGATGCATGTATAGTGCTGGAGGAAGAAATTAACAGAGTGTCGGACAGCTTCAAGTTATTCAGGGCTGCGGTGACAATTATGTGACGGGTCAAGGGAAATGTCATGGATTCAGCTCATGTCCGACATGTTTTATAATCTCGTTTATAAATGTATTTTTGATGAAGACATAATTCAAATGCGTCAAATATATTTAATTCTTACTATATCTTATCTGCAGTTGTAACCAAAGTTCTCTGTGACAGAATTAGATATGCAGCATTTTTAAGGATTTTGATATTTGAATGCACACAATAGACTTTGTCTTTCGCTTTCTGTTCTGGTCTTGTTTGTTGGTCAGGGAGAGACTACACAAGGATAGAGAAAATCCAAGAAATGGTATGAAATATACATATAACAATAGGTATATTAGGTATAAAAATCAATCTGCAGGAATTAAATGTAGGGTAATCTTGCAAAATAACTATGTATTGCCACTGTTTTTGAATCTGAAATTGCTTAACTGCTTTAAGTGTTTGCTGTCCAGTGAGGCTAGTGCTGGAGTGCAGGAACCAATGGTAGTGATATTCGTCTTGATAGTTAAGGAGAGAATATGATATACAAGGAACCAAAAATATTTGGCACTAAATCACCAAGAAGGGCTACAAGCTTTGTCTTTCATTTGATAACTGTATGACACAGTTAATATCACCATTGTTCGTGGCTGAACCTACAACAGCTGTCATAGAGTTAGGTACAAAAGTCCAGGTCACTATGCTCATTAAAATCTACTGATCCATGAGTGGGTTTTATATATATATATATATATATATATATATATATATACATATATATATATATATATATATATATATATATATATATAAATATGTGTGTGTGTGTGTGTGTGTGTGTGTGTGTGTGTGTGTGTGTGTGTGTGTGTGTGTGTGTGTGTGTGTGTGTGTGTGTGTGTGTGAGCATGTATACAGGGAAGGTTTTGCTGGGTAATGTTAAGAGTGGACAGTGGCATCATTTCAAGGACCTCTTATCTGATTAATTACTAAGTTATTGTCTCCATGTTCACATTCCATGAAGTATACTTTGATCATTTTGTTTTCGACTCTTTTTTTTCTCTCTATGTTAGCTTGAATACATTTTCTTGAAAGCCACAAGCAATATGGGATGTGAGGTCAAATAAAAAAAAAATGGGGGGGGGGTGAAAGCCAAGCATATTTACCATAACAAATAATATTTACAATACTAAATGCAACAATCTTAGGGCCTTTAATACAATATGAATGGGTTGAAAACTCATTAGGGACTCTTTTGTAACAAGTATTATATTTGTTTTATTAAACTGGCGCTGTGCTATACATTTGGAACGAGTTCCTTATATTATCTTAGTATCTTTATTCCTTAGGCGATAGTTTACAATGTTTAATAAAAAATAAAGATGGGATCTACATAGTAACAGTCACCGCTGCCGAAAACATCTATTTTTTTATATAAAATCAATAGAATATTCTTCAGTATGGCCACTGTTTGTCATATGTTTTGCTATAATTTGTCAGACTTGAACGATTTGTTTTCACTTCGCTAAATATCTTTCATAGACAATGAAGTATTTTTTCTAAACCTAGTATATAATGTACACTTACTACTGCCATCATTTAGTACACCACTGCATACACAATAGAATATAGGGTTAGAAATATAGAATTTGCTTGTCTAAAGCATTCACAATAATTAAACAATATCAGAGTGATATATTCTGTAAGATGTTAGCTATATAGATGTATCTAAATAGAAAGGGTAATAAATATCAAG